ACTAATCTCTTTCCGTCTCTACAGATTTGCCTATTCTGGACATTTCATATAAATGGAATCATACAATATATGGTCTTTCTACCACCCTGTCCTGCTCCTGTCCCAGCCTAGGGTTTACAGACAATCAGGGTTAGGTTCCAGTGGTGTCACTAAGGGGTTGTGGAGGGTGCAGACCACACTGGGTGACATTGTCAGAGAGGGTGACACCAAAATGACTGTCCATAAAATTTTTGTGCAGTGTTTCAGCAGAAATTTATTATTTTTTATAAAAACATTCCTGTAGTTAGTTATAACAAAAACCCACTGCCATTGAGTCCATTCCAACTCAGGGACCCTATAGGACAGAGTAGAACTGCCCCCATGGGGTTTCCAAAGGCTATAATCTTTATGGAAGCAGACTGCCACATCTTTCTCCTGCGGAGCTGCAGGTGGGTTCAAACTGCCAACCTTTCGATTAGCAGCCGAGTGCTTAACTACTGTGTCACTAGGGTTCTTGTAGTAAGTTATAACCAACCCAAACCAACCTCATTGCTGTCAAGTTGATTCCGACTCATAGCGACTCTATAGGACAGAGTAGAACTGCCCTGTAGGGTTTCCAAAGCTCTAATCTTTACAGATTAGTAAATAAGTAAGCAGAAGTAAGCCTGTGCTTACTTTGTTTACTGGGTCTTCCACCTCTGACAGGGACTGTAAATTTGAAAAGGGGCTTTGATTCTGTAGGAGGGTGCTTGGGGTTAGGAGAGAGACAGATGCCAGCCATACCTAGAAGCAGAATCTTTGATGTGGTGAAAAAATGTGAAATTGTTCACTACAGATGATCTGGTAAGCAAGGTAAGCACCATGTTTACCTTGCTTGTTGGATAATTCACCCCTGCCCAGTTTACATGTATCAATGTATCTACAAGGCTAAAACTTTATGCTAATTTACTTTTTGAACCTTCTAATGTGCTCTGGTCAGAGCTGTCATTATAACAGAGCTGTCATTACTACACAATTACAATTACGCTTTGAATCCAGTAGTATCATCTGCATGAGCTACAAGCACGTGCTGTTGTTTTTGTTGCTGCTGATGTTTTTATTGTCACTGATTTTGTCAAATTTTCTGGGGTTTTAGCTATAATACTGTGGTAATTAACATAGGGGGGTGACACCATGAGTTACCACACTGGGTGACACCACCTCAGTGACACGACTGTTAGGTTCCCACCTGCTTTCAAAGCCTCCATTATGGGTGGGGATTTGGAGGACTAAGACCACCCCCAACACATACTCACATGCTCACACACATGCCCATACAGTGTTTTTCACACTCATTTCTACAACTTCCACGTGTTCTGTTTTTCCCTGGAACACCCAGGGCTGCCCATCTAACCCCTGCCGTTCCTCCTTTTTTACCCCCAGAGACATAGTCTGTGATCCAGGAAAAAAATGAGAAAAAGCCAGCAACCGAACGAAATGAACAACTTGCTGGTTATTTTTATAACTGCGCATTATTCAAACACCTTTGAGGCCATATGTCTACCTCCATTTCCTCTCTATAATTAATTATAGAGCCAGAAATCCAATGCAGCATTTTTCAAAGTGACTTCATATGCCTTTTCTCATCTGACCTTCCTAAAAAGTGGAATTGCTGGTGAAGGCTTATGATTTTGCTGCCTTGTATCATTTCTGGAATCAGCACCCCCTATTCCTTTGGGGAACCCCTCCCCTACTCTTAGTCCATGTGGTTCAGTTGGATCTGACACTGCCTGTCCAGGGGTGGTCATGTGATCTGACTTGGCCAGTCAGAGAAGCCCATTCCCCTAACTCTTATGACCGGTTCAAGGTTGGGCACATGACCCAAGGCGGACCTATGAAACTCAATCTCAGAGGTGGCCAGAGCTACTGGAGGTTCTGCTACCTGTGATGAACTAGCAGCCTAGAACTTCTAGGACTGTTTTTCTACTGCATGGAGAAACCCTGACAGAGAATGATGCCAATACAGAAGGCAGAGCTGAGCGATGAAGACAATGTTTGAGACCCTAGATCCAGACAAGCCAGGAGCCACCATGACCGAATCCCACACTTCTCAATTTCATGAGCTGATATATTCCTTTTTTAGTTTAAGCCCCTTTGTTTTGAGTATTTGTCACTTGCACCTGGAAAGATGCTGACTCGATCAGGGTTGTCATCTCCATTGGAAGGTGAAGAAATTGAAACCAGGAAGTGACTTGCCCAACTTTGCTTGGATGTTGAGTGACAGAGCTGGGATTGGAACCCAGGTCTCTGAGGCCAGTGACACCTCCTGTCCTTTAAGAGCAGGTGGCCTGGTTATTACTGGTTATTGACAGCTCCAGAAGCACGTGTCCTTCATTCAGGACAGATGCCCTGTGGGAGTATTACCCAAGGCCATAGGAAAGTGCTTTGCCAGCCCTAGGAAACCTCTCCAAAAGTCCCTTGGAGCTGGGTGTGCCCAGAGTGACCTGCTTGGTCCAGGGCCTGGTCCTTGGGCCTCGCTTGCCCAATGCAGCAGTGACCCAGATACAATCACAGAGCTCACGGAGCTACCCTCTGTCAGGGAGGCAAGGACCACCCCCCTCAGATGCAGCTCTGATCCAGGACAGCTGGGACCAGTGCCAAGGTCCCTGGCCTAGGGTGAGGGGTGCCTAAGAGGGGAGGCTGAACTGTGACTAGGGGTGGGAAAACTTATTTGGGCTGGCCCCAAGGTGTGGCACTAAGCCAGTGTTTCCCAGTCTTCAGCTTCAGTTCCACCTTCAAGAGTTTTCCCTTAGCCAGGTGTCACCTACACTATTCTTTAGTTTATGTTTTCCTACTTAAATAAATGTATCTGTAGTCACTTCCATGAATGGAAACCAGTGTCACTTGTCAAAAGTAAAATCCAAAGACAAACACAATGAAAACAAAATGATGCTGTTAAGGTTCAACTAGGGACAATTGTCTGACTAAGGGGCTGACATTGTGCCACGCTCTTTGTTAGAGACGAGTTAAAGACAGGCTAGTGCCAAGGCCTTGCTCATGACATATTAGTCACTGCTGTGCTGCGACCATCTAAAACCATCTCCCCTGTAGCCAGGGGATACACCTGCACCTCTCAAACTTCAGAAAACACTGAGGTAAGTACATCGTAAACCTGCCCAAACGCACACATGCCGTGGGAAGAAATATATTTATGGTGTCCGTTCTGTCCAAAGTTCTTGAAGTCCGGTAACTCCAAGTTAGTGAGCCTGCACCCGAGGCAGGAAAAGAGTGGGAAGGTACTCTGCTGTCACTCGGCCAGCAATAAAGACAAGCCATCGATTCATCAAACCTCAATCATTCATTCATTCAACGTTTATTGAGCGCCTACTGTGTGCCAGGCACCGTGCTAGGCGCAGAAATACTGAGATGCATAAGATACAGTCCATGCCCTTAAGGATTCACAGTCTAGAAGGGGAGACAAACATGTAAACAAGTAAAATACAGTGTGTTAAGTGCCACAAGAGAAGCATTTACAAAGTGCGGAGGTAGCCTGGAGGGGGAGAAGCATGGGTTGTCTTCTGGAGGAGAGGGCCTTTGAGCTGGATTGTGAAAGATGAACAGGCGTTTGCCAGGCAGACAAGGCAGGGGAAGCGGGGAAAGGCATTCCAGTCCGACGAAACTGCATGGGCAAAGGCACCGAGGCAGGATACGGTGAGTGTTGGTGGGGGATTCTAACTAGTCTGGCGGTATTGCTAGAGTTGGTACCAGAGGCCGTGGCTGGAGAGGGAGGCAGAGACCGGATGATGAGGGGAAACTGAGGGCAGGGAATACCTTGGACGGTGGCCAGAGGCGAGCAGACCCCAAGTAAAGGCTTCCACACAGGAAGAGAAGGCCCTGGCTGACCCGAGGCACTCCTGCTCAGGACCACAGGGCTCCTCACTGTGGCCCCCAAAGGGACCTGGACCCGAGAGACCCGAGGAGAAACTGAGTTGGGGGGTGGGTTGAGCAGAGAGGGGGGCCTAGGCCTGGGGTTCTGGAAGATGCCCCTCACTCCAGCTCTCTGGTCCCAGACTTGATTCCTGCTCCTTGCTGCGCAGGTGCAGGCCCCGCCCCTCCATCCTGGGCCAACGATCAAAGTAGAAATCACATGGGAATATTCTTGTCAAACTGCAAAGGGACCAGATGAATGTCGAGGCTTAAAATTAGTGATTACTAACTGAAAAAGAAAAGGGGTTGAGGGTAAAGCAGGAGGAATGAAGTTAGATACAGGAAGGCAGAAATTCTGAAAATAAGGGCCGAAAGTGAGGAACACCGCAGTGGCCGAGACGGACCATGGCTCTCTCTCCCCCGGGATGGAGATGCCCTTTGGCCCAGGGCAAGGGCAGAGGCCAGAGGGCAGAACCAGGCCTGCTGTGCTGGATGACCACGTAATCTACAGGACTGTCCTCAGGCCTTTACAATCAGCTTCAGGTGTCTCCTTAGCCTGAGGGCCAGGTTTCCTTGGCAACTAGGACCCGCCCTCTTCCAGGCTTCAGGGGATTGGCCAGAAGGCCTGGGGGCGGGGCCGGCCTAAGAATGGAGGAGCTCAGACTTCTGGGAAACGGCTCAGTCTGCAAAATGCCTGTGTGGTAAAGGGGCAGGGCAGGGAGGCCGGGCGAGGAGGGGCAGTGTCTCAGTAAACCAGAGCCCGCTTGCCCTCTGAACCACCACTTTTCCAAGGCACTACACCTTAGGCCACTTTGGGGGACTGACATTTTTCCACCTGGAAGGGGGAAAGGGGAAGATGGACTTAATCCCTCTATGGCTCCTGCTGCCCTGTGTTGGGGTTACAGCCTGAGGGAGACCTCTTGACTGAGGGAGGTGGTCATAGCAGCTTCCATCATGTCCTCTCTGTAGTCTCAGGAACAGAGGAAGGGAGGAGGGGACTCTCCCGGTTAGCAGGCTCTGGAGATGTCCCAAGGCCCCTCCCTTCCTCCTGACCCTCCTAACTCAGCCTCACTTCCTGGGGTCTCCAAACTTCTTCCACCAGCCCTCATTCTCATGTCACATGGCCTTGTCCCTCCCCTCCCCCTGACCAGTGTGGGGGAAGGATGGCTGCTATGGGCACCGATGGAGGTGGCGGTGGTAGCAATGAGAGGGACGGTGTGGTGCGTGCGGTGGGCAGCCTCCCCACCTTGGGGGTGGGCTGGCTGGTGGGAGGCATCACTTGCTCTTGTGCATGTCCTTCAGCCGACGGAGTTCCTCCAGGAGCTGGGCTCGGGAAGAGCAATCGTCCTCGGTGGGGCCTGGGCCTGGCCCCAGAGCCTCCTGCAGTGCCAGACAGTGGGTCCTCAGGAACGGGTTGTAGGAGCGCTCCTCCCCCAGGGTGGACGGACACTGCGGGGCGAGAGGCACCAGGCTCGGTGGAGAGAATCTGGAAAATGGGTCCAATGCAGGTAGCCGCCCGCCCCCTCCCATGCTGGGGTCCAGGAATTCTGACTTGAAGTCCCGAGGACCAAGCCTGTCAGAGCTCTGGGGAGGTGCCCGCAGGCCCAGCTGCCGCTGGGGGCTCAGCACAAGCGAGTTTCCTCTCCAGTCCCGCCCCGCACCGTGCTCTTGCGCTCCATTCGCTGCCTCTGCACCCACTGCATCTTCCTCTCCCGGGCCAGGTTCTCGGGCTCCACCATGCCCGCAAAGCCCAGGTTCTCCTCTGCATACTCGTGACCTAGGGATGGCGATGGCCACGGGGTACACAGGACAGAAATCGGTGATGTGGTCAGAAAAGTCCTCCCCACCTCCAGGCCCAGGCCTATGCCACATCTGGCTACCCAATAACCAGGGAGGAGGGCATTGTTCCCTGGAAAATCCCAACCACCCAGTGCTGCTCCTCTAAATGTGGGCAGAAGTCACCATGAGTTAAGAAGTAAAGGAGGTTCAGGGGAAGCCACTAGACTAGGAGACCTGCATTCTAGCTGTGGCTCTGCCCCTGCCCAGCCATGGGAACTTACATGAGTCACACCACCTCTTTAAGCCTCAATTTTCTCATGTGGAAAGTAGAGAAAACAATAATGCCAACTAGGACACAGATGTTTCTTCTGGATGCCTAGGATCGAGCCTGGCACGTAGTAGGTGTTGTATAAACTATTTGTCAAATGAAGGAACGCTCTGAAGATTAACTGACAAGTTTGTGAATGTGTTTTGTGAACTAGAAGGCAATGGATATATGCTGAGTTAATTTATCGGTTTTTACCCAGATAAGCAAAGGCTACTTTCTGCTATTATCTTTGACTATGAAAAACTGGACATCTCTCTGGGACCCTCCCAAGAGGCCAAGGGATGGCTGGCAGGGGACATTGGGGTGAGAAGCAGAAGTGTTAAGAGCCAGCACTCCAGAAAGAAGGGAGGAGCTCTGCCCTGCCCTGGCTGGTCTTTCGGGCAGTGAGGGGCTGGGAGAGCCTTCCTAGGCCAAGAGCATGGGGGGT